GAAAGGGCCACCCCCCCCCGGAGGCACATACACACGCCCCCCCCCAAAAAACAGGCTCGTGCTTCCTGACTGGGGAGAACAAAGGCTGAACAACTACAAGCCCCATCATCCCCAGCCCCGAACGAAAGGAAGGCCTGCCGCAGAACACTCCCCCATGGGCGGAGAGGGGGGGGTATCTTGGGGGGGCGGGAAGGGGGAAGCAGGAGGACACACACACGGGATTTCCTCCTCCCCCCCAAGAACAGAGCGGGGCGGAGGGGGAAGTAAGAGGAGCAACAACATCCGGGTCACCGAGGATGCGCTCTGCCCGTAGAAGCCAGGGAGCACCATAGAGACAGAAATTGTAGAGCGGAGCAAAGCACTTCGTGGGGGACCCCAGGAGAAAAGATTCGGCTTTCCGGCTCCCAAAAGGGAGTCTCGAAGGGGTTCCGGGTCGAGATAGCCACTTCCGCCTTGCAGCCCTTTGGGCCCGTCGAGTTTTCCACGGTAGGACTCGAGGCCCCTTCCGACTCTATTTTTCTGAGTCTATGAGCCTCTGACGTCAGTCGACGCGCTTATTTTTCCCCCAGCTCGGAAGGAAACGCCTTCCTGCGCATGCGCAGGAGGGAAGCGTCTCCAGACCCCCCTTCTCCCGCTCGTTCTTAAAGCCTCCGCAGCTTTCCTCCCCGCTCTCTCTTCCGCCCCCCCGCCCACGGAGGATGCCCAGTGCGCCTGCGCAGTCCGCGATGGGGACGCCAACGGGGAACTGCGGCAGGAGATTCCCGGGCATCGGAGCAGCCACAAGGGGGCGCTGTTGCTGCTGCTGCTGCTGCTTCTGAACCGGATTAAGCGCCGGGGGGGGCGGGAGAGAGAGTTTATTTTGCAAACGGGAGGAGCGGCTTTCCTGCTGGGCCCCTCGATTTGGGGGGGGGGGTTGCTGGCAAGGGGCGTTTGCCAGCCCTCCCCTCCCCCCTTTGCCCCCCATCCCTGGAAAAAGAGGGGGGTGGGGGGGAAAGAGAAGCGGGGCTGCAAAAACAAAACAAAAAAACCCTGTTTGCCAGACCCCACCCTCTTGCACTGCCCTGGAGGGCCCGGGATGCTGGGCTACTGCCCACACCCACACCCACACACCCCCTGCCTGGTGCTGCTGGACTGGCTTCCCTCCTATGCCTGCAGGCAGACAGGCATCCAAGGACCCAGAGGAGATGGTTGTTGTGGGTTTTTCGGCCTTTTTGGCTGTGTTCTGAAGGTTGCTCTTCCTAACACTTTGCCAGTCTCCGTGGCCGGCATCTTCAGAGGACATGAGTCAGAACTCTGTCTATGCTCTGTTGCAGTTTGTTGGATAGTTGAGAATTTATAGCTGTGGGATCAGCTTTTGTCCTTTTCATGAGATTATAAAAGGACAACTCAACAAAGCCTGGCTCCCAGCATTGAAAAATACAGGCTGCAAAAAGGTCAATGAACTCTACCCAGCCACAAGGACCAGGGATCACTGCACACAAAAGACTAGCTAGGGACACTAATCAATCACAGTGACAGAGCATCTCTCCCCCTTATCATAACAATACACCCACAACAAAAAACACTTTGATCACTATAATCACTCAATCTCCTGAAAAGAGTACCACCCTGTGGACAGACTTGAAAACTGCAAATGTAATCTGTAACAGTGAGTTTAAAAAGCAGCTTTTTCACAATTGACGATAAAAATCTACCTCCAGATCAACGAAACTGCCATGGGGGCCTGTATGGCCCCACAATATGCCAACATATTCACGGCTAAACTGGAACAAGGTTTCTTCAACTGCTGGATGCAAAAGCCACTTGAGATACATTTACGACATTTTTCTGATGTGGACCTATGGAAGGAAATCCACCAGGATTTCAGTAACTTTCCCTGAAATATTAACCTTACCCTGGAACAATCTATGCAACAGGTGCATTTTCTGGACACCACTGTCAAACTGCAACATGGACATCTTAGTACAGTGGACCCTCTACTTAAGGAATTAATCCGTATTGGAACTGTGGCTACAAGTCGAAAAGTCTGTAGGTCGAATCTCCATTGATCTACAATACACTGAAAACTGATTAATCCCACAACTGGCAGTTTTCATTCTATTTTTGTTCCATTTTGTTTTTTTTCTGGTCTGTAGGTCGATTCTCCGGCTGCAAGTCGAATCTAAATTTTGCAGCCAGAGAAGTCTGTAACTCGAAAAGTCTGTAAGTCGAGCCGTCTGTAAGTCGAGGGTCCACTGTACCATACTGTACCAGAAACCCACTGACTGAAATAATTACCTGGACTCTTTCAGCTTCCATCTCAAACACACAGCAAAACTAGAGATAGGCACAAATCAGGAAAAAATGTGATTAGTTTTGATTTATAATTTGTCAAGGTCAACAAACCACAAATTACAAAATCTTTTGACAAATAAATGAAGCAGTTTGTCAATTAACTTTTGACTTTAAAACCCTATAAACAGCCCCCCAGGCAAGCTCACCCATATCTCCCCTACAAGTCCAGAAAGTTTGGTGAAGTTTGGGTTTAGGACATCCAACTTATACACCCACAAGTATCCCCCTCCCACAAGAAAAGTTTCCCCCAGGCACCTAGAGATACCAAAATCACAGAGAAGCTTTCCCTGACTCTCTGCTACAATCCCTCCAAGTTTGGTGAAGATTGGGTTTCAGTCATCCAAGTTATACACCCACAAAGTGGGTTCCCCCCAGGAAAGTGCCCCTTTAGCAGTCGGCTTGAGGAAACCCAATCTTCACCAAACTTGGAGGGATTATAGAGAAGAGTCAGAGGAAGCTTCACTGCAATTCTGGTGCCTCTGGGGGGGAGTTTCCTGGGGTGGCCTCTTTGTGAGTGCCGTCTCTGGGGGGAAGTTTCCTGGGGTGGCCTCTTTGTGAGTGCATAACTCGGACATCTAAAACCCAATCCTCACTAAGCTCGGAAATATTATAGAGGAGAGTCAGAGGAAGGATCCCTGTAGTTTTGGTGTCTCTAGATGCCTGAGGGGCTATTTTATAGACAAACGAATTGATGAATAAAAAAAAGCTAAAAATTCATTGATTCATATTAATCGGGGACATTGATTTGCATAAATACGAATCAACAAATTAGTGGTTTTTGAATGGATTTGGTGATTCATTTATTAATTCATGCCCATCTCTAAACAAAACCTATTGTATTCAGCCAAAATCTAAGATACAATCACATCTGCCCCAATCCACAGGCTAGAACCTCCAAACTCTAGGACCTACACAACGCATTTCTCAGACCCACCTCAAGGGTCAAGCAAGACACATACCGGGAAGGAACTTATTGCAAGACAGACTCAGAAGAGAAAGAGACAGAATAATGCTAGTTGTCTCCTTCAGTTCACAGCTGAGACCACTCTCACACATGCCAAGTGATCTCCAACCCCTCCTTGACAAGAGCAAGACACTCTCCAAAGCCCTTAGTGGGGGGCACATACCTGCCTACAGACCACCCCCTTCCCAGCCTCAAGCAAATACTAACACACAATAGACCACAAAACAGCAACACAGACAGGGGGACTAAACTCTGTCACAGACCCAGATGCCAAGTCTCCCCACGCATCTATTCTGGCAACATAATTACAGGACATAGCAATCCCACACGCGATATCAAAGATAGCTTCATTTGCTCCTCAACCAAGATAATCTACGCCATTTTTTTGCCAACAGTGCCCCTCTGCACTCTACATCGAACAAACAGGACAATCTCGATGAAGACAGGTCGGCGGTCACGAACTGGACATCAGAAACCACAATAAACAGAACCCTGTTCTCCAACTACGGTATTTTTCCATGTATAAAATGACACTTTTCCCTAAAATAATTAGAGGAAAAAAATTTAGGGTCATTGGAAGTAACAAGGGGGGAGGGATCAAAGTGCTTTGATCCCTGCTTTCCCCCTCCACTTTCCTCGCAAAAAAGTGGAGGGGGAAAGCTATTCTTCCTGTCCCCTCCACTTTCTTTGCGAAAAGCAGCATTCCCCCTCCACTTTTTGCAACGAAAGTGGAGGGGGTAAGCAGGAATTGCTTTTCCCCTCCACTTTCTTGTGAGGAAAGTGCAAAGCTTTTTTGCAAAGAAAGTACAGTAGTGCCTCGCTTAACGAGCGCACCGTTCAACGATGAATCCGCATAGCGATGTGTTTTTTGCGATCAACAGGTCAGCGGTCACAGACATCAGAAACCACAATAAACAGAACCCTGTTCTCCAACTACGGTATTTTTCCATGTATAAAATGGCACTTTTCCCTAAAATAATTAGAGGGGAAAAATTGAGGGTCATAGAAAGTAGTGGGGAAAAGCAGAAATCAAAGCACTCTGATCCCTGCCTTCCCTCTTCACTTTCTTGCAAAGAAAGAAATTTTGGTTTAGAAAAGTGGGGGTGTCTTATACATTGGGGTGTCTTATACACTGTATTTCAACCTACCAGGATACTCTACAGAGGATTTGAAAGTCGCTAAATTAGAACAGAAATATTACAGATTAAGACTACAGAGGGTAGAGTTTAATGCGTTCTTATGGGGTTCCCCCCCGCATAGCATAGAAATATTACAGATTAAGACTACAGAGGGAAACAGCTGAGATAAAATGTATGTACATGATGGACACCCCTATAAATGGATTGAATATAAGCCTGAGTTTCTTAAGTCATTACCAAATTTAATACTTATGCTCTTATCCACAAGGAGAAAAGCAGGATAAAAATATTATTTTCCTTCACAATTACCAGACCTATCTTTCATAACAAGGCTCAAATGTAAAACCATTAATAAACCCTACATGAGCACACGTTGTTCCTCTACTATCTTATCTGTTCATCTGTTTTCAGTTTCCTGTAGGAATGTTTACAATAGAACGTAATAGCAAATACACACCCAGGGCTCTTAAAGCCAATTAACGTTTTTAATATTTTAACTTGTGAATTTGGTGTTTCATCCAGTATTTCATTCTGTTTCCATATATCTGACGAAGTGGATGTATCCACAAAGGCTCACATTCAAACATAATAGTTAGCCTTTAAGGTACTATCATGTGTTTTTTTTTAGTCTTTTTTGTTTGTTGGTTTGGTTTGGTTTTCTTTTGATTTTTGCCTGATATGCTTACACAGACTAATATGACTAGGTCTTCCAATGCATAGCAAGTATCTGTGGTGGATATCACCAGCCTGTGGATAGACATGAAAACTGTGACTGTGATCTGTAGCTGCGAGTTAAAAACCACAAAATAGGAGTATCACAAAGGGACCCCAAGTGGCGATAGGGAAAGCATGGGGCAGCCACTGGACTTTTAAATTCTGTAAAGTGCACCAGGGCGTATCCCACATCTTTCCGCGGAGGACATTATGATGACCTTCTATTATACATAAATCCAGGTAAAGTTGCAGCTCACCACCCCCTGTACAAGATGAAACGGGGACAAGAGTGGTTTATTCCCCCCTTTGTCGGTGGATGGTTTCCAATTATAAGGCTTGTGATGATGATGAGAAAAGAAGGCAGAAGGGTGATAGGATAGCACTTTAAAAATACAGTATTTGAAAGGCAGTCATGTAGATTACATGTTATCCACAGAAAGCATGGGTGTAATGTTTAATTAATGCATTGAAAATGACAGTTTAATGACAAATGGTTTTGATCAACTTTTAACTCATTAATTTTAAAACCTAGTGTTCCAAGCACTGTGACGCTCATGTAGCTTTCTCCGGTTTCCCTAACAATTCAAACAGTTTGCTAACACACATAATCCTGCCCTTCCAAGACCGGAGGGCTCTTGAACATATGGGTGGTATTGGCACAGCTGCTGGTTTGTTCCACAAGACGGGTGGACAGCTGTTTGAAGGTTGTCCATAGTTCTAGCTCTGTGACCACCTGCCTGGCTCGAGGTAGTCAGATCAGCCGGCTCTTGAGTTCTTGGAAACCATGGCTTCCTTGGACATGTTCCAACATGTCAACAGCCCCTCCCACACGGGCGGTCATGTTAGACCTGGTTTTCTCCACCGAGTGGAGTGAGTGTGGCTCGATGCTGACTAACCTTGCGTGGTCGGACCACCACCTAATCAAAGGCACGGAGTGAGTGTGGCCCGATGCTGACTAACCTTGCGTTAGTCCCCTTGTCGTGGTCGGACCACCACCTAATCAAAGGCAACTTCACAATGGCTCTATTTTAAAGGTCTGCCCTTCGCAGGCTACTGGATCCTATAGGATTCCAGGATGCCTTGCGAGGGATTCCAACGGACCTGGCTGGTGCCCCCGTCAACGCTCTGGTGGATGGCATACTGCTGCCACAAGGGCTATCGACACGATTGCACTCCGATGCAGAGCTCGTCCAGGACCCTGGTCTAACCAGCAGCTGCGAGCCATGAAGCAGAACAGGAGGCTGGAGAGCCTTCAGAGGTAGAACCCGACAGAGAATAATTTAAAAGCTGCCAAGGTCGCGTCTAACCTTTACCTTGCTAAGGTGAAGGTTGCTCACTTCACTATCCGGATAAGCGAAACTTCGAACCAGCAGGCAGAACTTTGCTGTATAGTATGCGATTTATTTGAAACTTGTCACAATGATTGGCCTCCTTCTAGCATCTAATGTGACCAATTTGGATCATTTTAAAAATCAAAGGTGGAGGCCATCCGCCGGGACCTTGCTCCCTATTTGGAAACAGTAGATTGAGCAGAGACATCCAGCACAGCGCCTTGTCTGTCCAGATTTACACAATTTCAACCTGTGACGTCCGTAGAGGTGGACAAGGTGCTTGATCGCTGTTGTGCCACCACCTCCGCTCTTAATCCTTGCCCGGCCTGGCTCATCCAAGCAGCTAGGTCTGTGACAAGTGAATGGGCTACAGCAATAATTACTGGGTCTTTTCAAGGAGACACTCATTAGTCCCATAAGGAAGAAACCAAGTTTGGCGGCGGACAACATTGGCAATTATAGGCCTGTTTCTTTTCTTAGCAAGGACTAGAGAGGGTGGTGGCCAACCAGCTTCAGACCCTTTTGGATGAAACCAATGCCCTGGATCCGTTCCAGTTGGGCTTCAGGCCCTGCCATGGCACGGAAAATGGCACTGGTCACCCTGCTGGATGACCTATTGAGGGAGGCCAACTGTGGCAAAACTTCCTTGTCGGTCCTCGATATCTCAGCCACCTTTGATAACGGTCAACCACGGTCTCCTCCTGGGGAGGCTCTCCAAGTTTGGGATTGGTGGTCTTGCTTTCGCTTGGCTCCGATCCTTCTCGGAGGGTCGTCCCCAGAGAGTACAGCTTGGGGAGAATGTATCGGCCCCCGGTTCCTCAATTGTGGGGTTCCACAAGGTTCAATAATCTCTCCAATGCTATTGAATATCTACATGAGAGTGCTGGGCGGGGTCATCGGGGGTGTGTAGTGTGTCACCAGTATGCTGACAACACTCAAGCTCTACATCTCCTTTTTTCCATCTGCAGTGGATGCCATTATGCCTCTTGAGCGTTGCCTGGGGGCCGTTCTGCAATGGATGCAGTTGAATGGACTGAGGTTTAACCCGGACAAAATGGAGTTCTTGAAGGTGGATGTTCCCAGCATCAGTGGTTTGGAAAATTCCCTCTCTTTTGGTGTGTGTGTGTGTGTGTGTGACTCTCACCACAAAGAGTGTGGTTCGCAGTCTGGGGGTTCATCTTGACCTGGCGCCTACCATGGAGCCCCAGGTAGCGTCAGTGCTGCGCTCCGTGCATTTACATCTACAGCAGATTGCCCACTTTTCAAATATTTGAAAGGCTGTCCTACAGAGGAGGGGCAGGCTCTGTTCTCGATCCTCCCAGAGTGCAGGACATGCAACCAGGGGCTCAAATTAAAGGAAGCTAAATTTTGATGGAATATCAGGAAAAACTTCCTGTTAGAGGAGCACGACAACAGAACCCAGGATCTCAGGTGGAGGTGTTGACTGCTCCAACACTGGAGAGAAACTTAGATAATCACCTGGCAGATATCCTTTGATTTATATTCCTGCGTTGAACAGGGGGTTGGACTGGATGACCTCGTAGGTCCCTTCCAACTTCACTTTTCTATGATTCTAAGTTTCTGGCAGGGGGTATCCACCCAGTCCCAAAGTGGATCTCAGCCCCCCCCACCACCAGTAGCTCCGCCTGCTGATGGGTCTCACAAGTGTAAGCAAGGAGAACCAAATAAGAAGTGCGATGGGAAGTGGTATACAAATTTAAAGAATAAATGAAAAATAAATTTGGTGAGGATCTCATGTAAAAATTGGAAGGATCCATGTTCTTGATGTAATAGATGTGCCTTTTATCCTGACTGAGCAAACGGCACGCCGTCCCAGAACTATCCCCAGAAGAAAGTAAGGGGAGTATTCCACTTCGGAGTATTCCGAAAAGGGTCTGAATGGACTCGATGGCGTGCAATTCTTCTGCTTATCTCCACGTGCGCCCTGCAGGCCCTTCTCCAGGACGTCCCCGAAGCCACCCAAGCAAGCAGCGCACCTTCGCCCCGGCTGCAGGGGGCGCTCCTGCCCCACATTTGGGGGCTCCGGCGCGAGCGGACTACAAGCCCCATCATCCCCCCTGCCAGCAGAGCAAGCCGCGGTCGGAAAGGGCACCGTTTCCGAGTTCGGCCGAGCTGCGAGGAAGGCCGGGCTTGCTCAAAGCTCGGACACGTTTGTTAGCGTTTTCTTCCCCCCCCCACAAGAACTCGGAGTCCCTTGGCCGGTGGATGCTGGGCGTTGTAGTCGCGAGCAAAAGGCGACCTTTCCCATAGGACGCCGCCGCCGTCTGTTTACCGGCCACGCCGCTGCTTTTCCAAAGGCCGTTCCTGGAAGGGGGTCCCGCGCCACCCCATAGGAAAGCCGCCGCCCCCTCGGGCACGGGGGGGTAGGGAGAGAGGGCGAGGGCGGCGGAGAGACCACTACCCCCGGGAGGGCGAGGAGGAGGAGGGGGAGGAGGGAGAGGAGGCGCAGCCCC